AGAATTTTTTGCCCTTTAGTATAAAAATAATATTTTTAAGTTATCGTCGCGATAAAAGTGGGTATTTATGCACTTAATGGACTAACTCATCATTAGTTTCTTTTTTATTATGATTAAATATTATAGTTCGTAGCCAATTCAAATATCAAATTAAATTAAATTCAACTCCTAATTATCAAATACAGGGCAAAATGTTCCTCGTCAAATAGTAAATAATAATATTGTTTTACCATCAAATACATTAACAATATTATATTAACAGTTTTAGAGATCTTTCTTTAGATTTAGCTTCGTATTCATAACACTACCTTCCTTTTGTAATTTAAGTATCACACTTCTCTCCCATATATCATTTTTCTCTTTATAACAATTCTATTAATATATTTATTATAACTATAAAAAATAAAAATAATGATGAACTTTCCTTTTAATATATACTTCTTTAAATTTGACAAATAAATGTAAATTCATTAGCTGGAAATATTGTCGTGTTACACGTTTTGTTCCTGTGGAGCCAGTGAATATTTTTCCTGATGAAAAATCTGATGTGGGGGATGATATCTCAAAATGAAATTTTAGAAAAAAAAATTATACTTTTTTTAAAAGAAATTAATTGTAAGTGCAAACAAGAAAAAAAAATTAATTCTATCTTTTTTATAAATGAACAAGTAATTTGATTTACTATTTATAGTAACGTGGACAACTAATATAGACGAAGTGAGTATTTTATTTAAATGAGACGGAAGAGAAGATACCAACAAGAGTAGCTTAGTTGATTGAACAACGATCTAAGTTTGAACTTCTCTACATATTTTTTCGATCGAACTCGTCGTATTAAATTTATCTAATTAATTATATTATAATGTGCAAACTATTACACTGAAGCTAAATTTATCTCGTACACAAATAATTAATAGTCTTTTACGAAAAAACAAAAATCTCTAATGATGTTATCAAGAATCCAGAAGATCTTGTTTTTTTGATAACTTTAATGATAAACCTTTTATGTACTGGATTAATAATGGAGTAGCTACATTATAAATTTTGATTATTTAAAAAATCTTAAACTTGTACAACTAATTTTAATATGAATTCTTATACAATAATAAATTGGACATTATTTTATTTTTCTTTTTGTCACGACCCAAATTGAGTCATGAGTGGCACCCACACTTAACCTCCTAAGTGGGCGGACCAAGGAATCTAAACCCCAACATATTCCAATAATCCAACTACGAATAACAACAATAACGCGGAAGCTCCAAAACTTATTAAAGTAACCAATCAAATAAACCTCTAAAGTCTATTACATATTATCTCCAAAATCTGAAAGTCATCACATCAAGGACATCTGTTCTTAACATATCAAGTCTAAAAGTATTAGAGGCTCCTAAAATAAGTAAATATGATGGTCCATGTCCGAAATTCAAAGGACATCACGCCATAACTGAGAGAATCCCGCACGAGCTAGAAAGAATAGCTCACCCTGAAATCTGATGTGCTGGAGACTGGCTAGAGCTGAGGACGAGTCGAAGTCGATGGTACACTTGCTGCACTCCACAAAAGAAAAACGAAGAAAACACAAGTAGGGGTCAGTACAAGGAACACGTACTGAGTAGGTATCATCGGCCAACCCAAAATAGAAACTAATATACAACGAATAATAGTATAAAGTCAACTGTAGCACTTAACAGGTGATAAGAAACCACAACATGAACAAGTAACAGTTGAAGCAAGTACGTAATCAATCACAATATCAAGCACACACACGAGGACTCATGCCTCTACATCACACTCGTTTGGGAAATGCGTTCATTGAGATTGAGTACATTAAGTTAATTCAATATATTTTTCCTTTAAGGTTACCGTGTCGGAACGTGACACTCCGATCCAATTATACCGTGTCGGAACGTGACACTCCGATCCAATAATACCGTGTCGGAACGTGACACTCCGATCCAAAAATACCGTGTCGGAACGTGACACTCCGATCCAATAATATTATTAATTTATCATTTATTATCACTACTTTTCAGCTCATTAATAACATTACATCAAGCCCTCTTTATTCAAGGCATAACTTCAATAGAGAGGTTTTCAGATTATAAATCTCGCGATCTCAGGATTTTAGACCAATCACAAACCACACAACCAAACCACATAATCACACAGTCAAGTACATAGAGAACTTCACAATATCATACAATGCATATCAATCGCTATTAAGAGTTTATCTATCAAATAGAACAAACCATAACCTACCTCCACCGAAGAACCGAAGTCAAGCAAACTACTTCTCCAATGTTTTTCCCTTCCTCAATGCCTCTGAACCTTTCCAATCTATAAAGTATATGTGCATAATTTGTAAGTTGATGAGTCTATAAACACTCATATTATTCTATGTTTAACCTAGATCCAAAAACTCACCTAATTCTATAATCAATTTCCTAAAGTTCAACCTAAGGGTAAGTCTTAATTCCTCCCATTTGGCATAACTTTAACGATATTCGAATAATATTATATACCTAATATTTAATTACATATATCAATGTATTACAACTTACCTTATATTATGATAATCAAATAATATTAATTAAAAATGGAAGCTAACTGGTGATGAACCAGTGGTGAGAACCATGCTAACTCTTAACACCTATGCCATAAATAATAACCTGACCTATTCAATTGTATAAACTACACTTCACTGGAGTATGTTGCCAACTTCAATCTATTACTATATGATGGTAATAACTAACTCAATTGTCAATCATTAATTGATCATTAAGAAGTTGTACAATAATGCCAAGAACTCACGTGAATGACTAACCACGTTTTTCCATACAATTTTTAATACCTCAACACTAACAAAAACAACCAACCAATATTATCTAATCATTGTAGTATCCATTCTTCTCAAATAACAATTTCCTACACCACATATTATAACCAATACTATGCCATAATTATTCCTTAATTATGTTACTGTTATTACCCAGACAAACCCACAACAATTTATCCCCACCATTTTCATGTACACAAGTTGTCATATCGTCCTTCTAATTCATTATCCAATTACAACTACATATATATATAAATTACCTTCCCTAATTATTACAACAACCGAACCTTTCAAACATTATTTATTTTATCGTACCCCCAATTTGACCAATCATTATGTTCCTCAACTTTGCACCTTTCAATTATTTAATCTTTTTCCACTGTTCATCATACAGACCCACTAACGATAATTAACCAATAATATACAATTAGAATGCTGGAAAAATTTCGGTGAAACAGTTACCTGAAGCCGTCTTTCCAATCTTTGCGACTCTTTTGGTTTTCCTTTCTTCTGCAGATTAATTATTAACCCTAATTATTATTAGGACTAATTATGGGAGTTGTAGAAGTGGCCCACTATTTGTTTTAATGCTATCTTCTATAACCATCAACTAACTTAATTATAAAAACTACCCCACTAATTTCATAATTGTAGTTACGAATAGTCCAAAACACTCATTTAAAATCTATCGAAAGAGTATTTTATATAATAAAAGCTCTAATACTCAAAACGACCAAATGGGTTGTTACATTTCGGCAGAGGGGTACTATTCTGAAAAAAAAAAATATTAAAGTAATGCAAAAATATTATTTTTGGCCCCTACGTAGTTGGTGTTTATTTTTATTTTAATCCTCGTAATATTTTGTTATGCAGATTTAATATTCAATGTATTGAAATGTTTGCTATTAGTCCCTTTGTGTAGGAAATGTGGTATTGGTGGATTATTTTTAGAAGTATATTATTACAGAACATAAAGTAATCATACAAGTTTAACATAACATATTTCGAAACTAAATAAATTGTGAAACATTTAATAATCCTTAAAATTCATGAAAATTCCCATGCAAATGAATCAAATATGCATATTCCAAGTAATTAAAGATTAAATATTTCTAGTCAAATAACGATCATGAAAGTAAAACTAAAACTAAATTTTACCAATAACTGACAACTTGTTTATAAGATGATTATTATGTATTGCTTCATGACACATTGTATTTTATATATACATATGTTGTTTCATCATCACATACTAGCAGTTAGAAGAATAAAATATACATTATTATATGTGTAAAAGTTAAAAAGGTATGATACACTAACAATCAAAACCATCATTATATTCACGAAGCAAAAATAATGGTACGTTATGATACCATATATAACAAATAGCAATTAGAGGCCAACGTACGTATTTAGGATCTCATTACGATGAATGCAATATTATGCTTATGAGAAAATATACTACATAAAAAGTTTAAATCGCATGTCTAAACAAAATTTCAACTTTATCTCATAATTTTACATCATAATTTCATATTGTATGGCTAAACAAACCCTAAGATATTGGAAGTATTGAAATCGATTGAATGCATTGACCGTATATAATATCATTCAATATTACTCATTTTAATATATACATTTGGCTAATTATAGTAAAAAATTGCAATACTAAAAATAATTGAGAAATTTCCAATATGATAGACTTGAATTGTTTTGAAAGATTGATGCAATAAAAAAATTTAGTTTAAAACGTCAAAAATGCTACCAATAATCACTTAGAAGAGAGGTGTACGTTGCCCATTTTTTGTTTGAAAGAACAAAATAAATGTAAGATTCAAATTTCTAACATCACTTAGAAAGACATATTCGCTCAATAATGATTGCATTATATTATACTTTATGTATGTTCACTGGTTATTTTTCAATATATAATACAACTATATATATGATCACGGAAGAGGGGCATAGATTCGCATGAACTCAGGAAATCCCCTTGATACGCCCGTGATAACAACCATCCAACATGTTGTACTAAAATAATAATAATAATAATAATAATATACTAATTTAAAAGATTTTTATTGCTTTAAATAGCCTAATAACCAGTCCATAGAAGTATTCCAAGAACCTACAAAAACATTAAATTAAGCTTTTATTCACCATGGAGAAACAAATAAATGGAAAAACAAGAACAAATGATGAAAAAAAAAATCAAGAATCTCATGAAGCACAAGCAAATATGTGGAAATTTGTGTTTGGTTTCACAGAAATGGCTGTGATTAAATGTGCCATTGAATTAGGAATTACTGATTTTTTGGAAAAAAATCAAGAACCTATTAGCCTAAATCAACTTTCTATTGCACTTGGTTGTTGTTATTCTTCCCTCTATCGTATCCTAAGGTATGATTAATTAGTTTGTAATTTGTTATTCTGTTAGTTTCAATTTACGTGATAGTATTTAGCTATATATACATAAAATTTGATTTTTTAAAATTTTGTGTGACTGTAATTGAGCATCTCATTATATTAAGGAACTAGTTCATGAAGGATTGTAGTGAAAAGGTTAGTACGTATTCATATTCATGCATCCGTAACTAGAGATCTTATGCTCGATTCCCGAGTATGGAGTTCTCTTATGTAGAAAATGTCTTATCCTACTAATTAACATCGGGAGGAAAAAATTATTGAACTAATGAAAAGCTTAAAGTTAAGTTATTTTTAAATAAGGATATGAAGAGTTATTTTTAGTTAAGACAAACTAAAAAAAAGTATCAACACTCAAACCTCTTTATCATATCATCATTTGTTTGGATTTTTTTTTTAATAGTGAAATGATGCTATAGAAATTAAATGGTATAGCATAAGATGAAACATCGGTTCTAAGGAAAACTTGACAGTTTTTGTGAAATATTGTTATAAAGAGATATGATTATAGATATTTGTTATAAAAATAATAATGTTAATAATATATTCATATTTTATAGGTTCTTGATCAACCGTGGAATATTCAAGGAGACATCAACCAAAAGCGGCAAAAGCGGCTATGTTCAAACGCCTCTTTCCCGCCTTCTCATTAAAGAAGGCGAGAATAGCATGGCTGCTTTCCTGCTATTTGAAAACAGCCCTGTGATGTTGGCATCGTGGCACAATCTTAGTGCACGTATTTCATCAAAGGACAATAGTATGTCCTCCTTTGAAGCAGCTCATGGAAAGGATGTCTGGAAGTACGCGGAAGCTGACCCTAAACACAGTAACCTCTTGAACAACGCAATGGCGTGTGATGCTAGGGTAGCAGTATCTGCAATTATCGACGGTTGCCCCGAGATATTCGAGGGGGTGAACACGGTGGTTGATGTTGGTGGTGGTGATGGAACAACACTTAGATTATTGGTGGAGGCTTTTCCTTGGATTAATGGGATTAATTTTGATCAACCTCATGTTGCTTCTGTTGCACCTCATGCTATTGGTGTTGTACATGTTGGAGGTGACATGTTTAATTATGTTCCCAAAGCTGATGCTGCCTTCCTCATGGTGAGTACTACTTTCGTCTCATATTAGATGGACATCTTACTAAAAATATATGTTTCATATTACTTGAACTTTTACTAATTAATCAGGATAGAAATTAATTTTTTTATTTTATTTTATCCTTACAATTAATATGACCTTTGAAAGTTTAAACAAATTTTGAAGATCCAGATTTTTTTTTCCCAAGAGGCTAATCAATATAAACAAAAAATACAGTAGTAAAGTTGATCAATTTATTAATAATTTCTTAATTACAGTACAAAATAGAAAGTTAATTCCCATCTAATATGTGACGGAGGAAATATTAATAATAGTCATTTTAATGGATTGAATTTGATTTAATTAAAATATTTGACATTTTAATTATGATGGGAATTAATTTCTTAAATAGTTATTCATGTTATGAAAATGACTCAAAAAGTCTTCTTTTTTTTTTAAAAAAAAAATTGTGCTAAGAAAAGTCATTCGTTAATTGTTCATTATCTCACAAAATAATTTTTACACGAAAAGTACTATAAAATAATATGGAATGGTCCCTTGTGTTTTGAGAGTAGGTCTAAAGTTGTCCATTGATATATTTTATATTATCTCTATTTACAAGTTTCTAATGGACATCCTTTTAAAAAATAGCTCATCTTTAAGGGATTTTCAATAAAGCATGTCGGAACATTATTGACGAGCCAATTTCATAAAAAAAGATATTTAAAAAAAAATAGTGTTTTTGGGATTCCCGAAGAATTGTCTGTTAAAAACATTTTCAAAAAAATTCGCTTTAGTTAAATTGTATTTTTGCATAACTTCATGTATATATGTTGAAGTAATTGTATTGGTGGGAAATTATCTCTATTTCTATAAATTTTTGACAAAAATCTCACCGTTGACATTTTTGATTGAAACAACAAACAACAACAATAACAAACCCTCTCCAATCCCATAGCTAGGGTCTAAGGAGGGTAAAGTGTACACATACCTTACTCATACCTCGTGAAGGTAGAGAGACTGTTTCCAAAAGATTTTTCACTCAGATTTTTAATTGAAAGTCGATCGTAAATGTTTCGTACGAGTTAATATTTGACGGAATTTATCAGAAAATCTACTTATTTTTAATTTATTAAGAAAATATTTTCTTATATTCATTTTTGTTGTTAATTTTCATAACCTCATGTATATTGTTGTAAATGTTATGTATATTAGTGGGTTTTACATGATTGGAGTGATGAAGAATGCATACAAATATTAACAAAGTGTAGAGAAGCAATTCCACAAGATAATGGGAAAGTGATAATATTGGAAGCAATAATTGGTGAAAAAGAAGAAAATATTATAAGAGGATCAAATAATAAGAAGCTCAAAGATGTTGGTTTAATGTTGGATATGGTGATGATGGCTCACACAAGCAATGGAAAAGAGAGAACTACAAAAGAATGGGCTTATGTTTTGAATGAAGCTGGATTTAATAAACACACAATTAGTCACATTAATGCTGTTCAATCTGTTATTCAAGCTTATCCTTCTTGATTTTTACAGTGTTTGGAGACGGATTTAGAATGTAAACTCTGTTGATTTATCTATAAGGTTCTTAAAAAGCATTGAAGTCGTTGTATTTTTGAAATTATGAATTTAAATCTGCTATTTGTTGCAACAACATATCTAGTGTATTGATCTTGTAAGTGGAGTTTGATGAAGGTAGAGGTACATATACCTTACTCTTACCTCGTGAAGGTAGATAAACTATATTCGAAAGACCTACGACTTATTGTTCAAGTGCATCAAATCAAACCTACTATTTGTTGCAACGAAAATAATGTCAACTCACATGTGAAGTCTGAGAAAGATAAAATTATACAGATTTTAAATATATATATATATAATAATAACTTGAAAATATTGATGTGTGGTTCTTATTCAAAACTTATGTTCTGAAATCTGATCAATGCATGTGGGATTTAGCAGACACACTGCAAAAATACACACTATATCAATCAAATTAATGCTGGTCAATTATTCAAGCTGATCCTTTTGCTTTATTATTACTGTTAGACATTGATTTAAAATTTAAAATTTATGAATTTAATCTACACAATTTCTAGCATGAAATTTGTTGTATTTTCAACTTACGAATTCGAGCATATTATTATTATAATCCTAATGGATTCATATATATAAATTTGCATTTTATATTGAATTTAGATAAATTCGATATTTGAATGTGACATCCTACTGATTGCATTTGCATGCATGTGCCTTTCTCTTATTGACATTTTTTTGTTTGTTCGAAAAGGGTAAAGAGTTTGATCGTTTTTTACTATTTTAAAAAAGGGAAAAAGGACAAATATGGAATGGTCCCTTATGTTTTGAGAGTAGGTCTAAAGTTGTCCACTGATATATTTTATACTATTATTTTTATTTACAAGTTTTTAATGGACATTCGTAAAAAAATAGCTTATCGTTGAGAGATTTTCTACGAAAAGCATGTCGGAAACATTATTGACGAGCCAATTTCAAACGAATTTCATAAAAAAGTTATTTTTTAAAAAAAATAGTGTTTAATGGATTTCCGATGAATTGTCTGTTAAAAACATTTTGAACGAAATTCGCTTTAGTAAATAGTATTTTTGCATAACTTTATGTATATGTGTTGAAGTAATTGTATTGGTGGGAAATTATCTCAATTTCTATTAACCTTACACAAATATTGACGAAAATCTCACAGTTAAAGAGATTTTTGATTGAAACAACAATAACAAACCCTCTCCAATCCCATAGATAGGGTCTAAGGAGGGTAAAGTGTACACATACCTTACTCATACCTCGTGAAGGTAGAGAGATTGTTTCCAAAAAATTCTTCACTCAGATTTTTAATTGAAAGTCGATCGTAAATATTTTGTACGAGCTAATATTTGACGGAATTTATCAGAAATTCTATTCATTTTTAATTTATTAAGAAAGTATTTCTTATATTCAATTTTGTTTTATTAATTTTCATAACCTCATGTATATTGCTGTATATGTTATGTATATTAGTGGGTTTTAGATGATTGGAGCGATGAAGAATGCATTCAAATATTAACAAAGTGTAGAGAAGCAATTCCACAAGACAATGGGAAAGTGATAATATTGGAAGCAATAATTGGTGAAAAAGAAAGTATTATTAGAGGATCAAATAATGAGAAGCTCAAAGATGTTGGTTTAATGTTGGATATGGTGATGATGGCTCACACAACCAATGGAAAAGAGAGAACTTCTAAAGAATGGGCTTATGTTTTGAATGAAGCTGGATTTAATAAACACACAATTAGTCACATTGATGTTGTTCATATCTGTTATTCAAGCTTATCCTTCTTGATTTTTACGATGTTCAGAGACGGATTTAGAATGTAAACTCTATTGGTTTATCTTTAAGGTTCTTAGTAAGCATTGAACACGCATGTTTTTTTTTTAATATTATGAATTCTAATCTACTATTTGCTGCAACAACATATCTAGTGTACTGATCTCATAAGCATTGGACACACATGTTGTATTTTTATTTTATGAATTTAATCTATACAATTTCTAGCATGAAATTTGTTGTATTTTTCAACTTATGAATTCAAGCATATTATTATTATACTAGATATTTGGTGCCCGTGCCAGCACATGCCCAATATATGTTACTATTTTCCCCCTCAATTTATGTGATATAAAGGAATTTTGAAGAATCAATCAAAAACAATTATATGTTTTAAAAAAAATATATTTGAAGTTATTAATTTGTTGTGATTTATAGTATTTTTTGTATAATTTTTTAAATAATATATGTTACTTTTGTTCCAATTCACGTGAATAATCATTAATATTTTCAGTTGTTAATTTACTTCGAATTCTAGAACTTTTGACATTATTTTCAAATAATATATGCTACTTCTTCTATTTCAATTAGTCAACCAAATTTCTTATAATATTTTCAATTGTTAATTATTGTGATTTATAACATATTTTATGTAATTTTAATAATAATATATATTATTTCATTTGTTCCAATTCATATGACAATGATAAAATTTTAAGAGTCAACTAAATATTTTTTTTTAAAAAAAAGAAGGTTGTACCTCTAATATATTTTGTAGTTAAAATATAATAAATATAGTAGTTAAATTTCAAGAAGTATAACATGTTGAACAAAAGAATTAGATACAAAACATAGACAAATTTTATGACGGAAGAGGCACAAATATGACTTGATATGTGAGACATTATTTTTAAATTAAAAAAATATGTACGTCCCACCTTTCCTATTCAATATTGTTGTTTCCCTCTCCTGTCCTACTTAATTTATGAATAAAAAAATATGTGGGTCCTATTCGTTTTATTTTACATTGTTATTTTCTTCGTTTTAAAAGATTTCTATTTTTTTTAAAAAAAAAAATAATTTTTTTTAACCAATTAAAAAAATCCATATCAAACACACCCTTCAAGAAATGGGCCGAGGGTCATTCTGAAAAATGTGGTGTACGTAACACATATTTAGGATTAATCACAGAAGTTACATACAACAACTACAAGACAAGGATATATATAATTATTTACATGTATTATTTGCCCACATAAACTAATTTGTATCAGTCGATTGGTTTGGTTAAGTTTATGAATTGGTCAATATATTTAATAAATATTCAAAACATTTATAAGTTACGTGGTTATAAATCAAATTAACTAAAAACAACTTGCTTATAATAATTTTATTTTTACTATTCTATGACTTTTCGGCATCTTTTTCTAATTCTTAAAATACTTTATATAACATAAAACGTGAAACTCCATCTTCACTTCTTATTCATTCTTTCTCATTTTCTTGGTAAATATATTTTTAAATTTATAATTATATTTTATCATTTTAACATCGGGAAAGGGATAAAATTACCTTTTTGCTATTCGACGAGAAACTTTTGCCCTTTAGTATAAAATGATATTTTAAAGTTCTCATCGCGATAAAAGTGGGTATTTATGCATTTAATGGACTAATCCATCATTAATTTCTTTTTAATTCGGATTAAATATTATAGTTCGTAGCCGAATCAAATGTCAAATTAAATTCAATTGAACTCCTAATAATCAATGGAGGACATAATGTTCCTCGTCAAATAGTAAATGGACTAACACATCATTAGTTCCTCTTAATTTCGATCCAATCTTATGGTTCACGATCAATTCAAACCCTTAATTAAATCCAATTAAATTCATAATTTTCAATAGAGGGCAAAAGAGTTCCTCGTCGAATATCAAAAGGACAATTTTGACCCTCTGTCGATTTAACAAAAAATGGGGCTTGTCGATATTGTTTTACCATCAAATACATTAACAATATTATATTATCAGTTTTAGAGATCTTTCTTGAGGTTTAACTTCGTATTCATAACACTACCTTCCTTTTGTAATTTAAGTATCACACTTCTCTCCCATATCATTTTTCTCATTATAACAATTCTATTAATATATTTATCATAAATATGAAAAAAATAATGATGAACTTTCCTTTTAATATATACTTTTTTTTTGACAAATAAATGTAAATTCATTAGCTGGAAATATTGTCGTGTTACACGTTTTGCTCCTATGGAGCCAGTGAATATTTTTCCTGATGAAAAATCTGATATGGGGGATGATATCTCAAAATGAAATTTTATTAATTTGAAATTTTAGAAAAAAAAATTAGACTTTTTTAAAAATAAATTAATTGTAAGTGCAAACAAGAAATTTTTTTATAATTTTATCTTGATTTTATAAATTAACAAGTAATTTATATTTACTATTTATAGTAATGTGGACAATTAATATAGACGAAGTGAGTATTTTATTTAAATAAGACCAAAGAGAAGATACCATAGTGAGCAACGATCTTTGAACTTCTCTACCTACTTTTTCGGTCGAATTCGTCGTATTAAATTTTTCTAATATAATTTACTTCGCAAATTATTATTTTTTATGACAAGAAAAACTCGCAGCCGCTATCCTATGCAATAGCTCGCAAACCACATAGAAGAGGTAACCCGCACTAGGCAAGCCCGGTGCAACGAGCTCAACCCAGAAGGCAAACCCCTTACTTTCACTGGCAAGGGTTTTCGAAGTTGAGACCTCCATCATGGAAGTCCCAAGCCCAAACCACTGGACCACCCCGAAGGGTACTTCGCAAACTATTACATTAAAGCTAAATTTATCTCGTACACAAATAATTAATAGTCTTTTTACGAAAACAAAAATCTCTAATGATGTCATCAAAAATCCAGAAGATCTTAATTTTTTGATAACTTTAATGATAAACCTTTCACGTATTATATAGTACTGGATTAAATATAATGGAGTAGTTACATTATTAATCTTAATTATTTAAAAAATCTTAAACTTGTACAACCAATTTTAATATGAATTCTTATACAACTAAATTGAACATATCAATTTAACATTATTTTATTTTTCTTTCGGCAGAGGGATACTCTTCTGAAAAAATATATATATTAAAGTAATGCAAAAAATACGTAGTGGGTGTATATTTTCATTTTAATCCTCGTAATATTTTGTTAAGCAGATTTAATCTTCAATTTATTGAAATGTGGTATTGGTGGTTTATTTTTAGAAGTATGTTATTATCGAACATGAAGT